GGCGTCATCTGGCAAGTAGGTGGCGCTGCAGCAGCATCTAACTATAATTCATTTGATCATCTTAAGAAGAAAACAACTTGTGAACACAGCAGGAACCCTGCAGAGTCCTGCTGCCGCCATGTCTGACTATTCCTCTTTTAGTTTATGAATCACTTCCTGTCTCTGTGGTTCCCGTTCTTTGTCCTTGATTCTTGGCGTTTCTCAGTCTGCGTTCTTGTCTGGACTCGTGTTTTTGTAAATGTAAATGCTCCGTACTGTATAGCACCTTTCTAGTCTTTTTGACCACTCAAAGCGCTTTTACACTACATCTGCATTCACCTGTCACACACATTCATACACTGAGCCTAAGTGCTCAAATGGAAACTAACATTCACACTCATTCATACACTGGCGGAACAGCCGCCAGGGGCAAATCGGGGTTCAGTATCTTGCCCAAGGACACTTCGACACCGACCTTCCGATTAACGGCAAACCCGCTCTACCTCCTGAGCCACAGCCGCCCCGTAAAACGTCATCAGTCGCAGCCCGAGTACTGTTCCGGTTCAAAATGCCGCTTCTAGCCAGGTACAGTCAGATACCCGGACGTGTTCCTGCTCCGTACGTTTTACCCAGGATACATCGGGTGGTGACTCGTGTGGACAGCCGAGTATCCCAGAATGCATTTCGCACCACCAAGCAGCAGCAGCGGCGGCGGAGGAGAAGACTCCCAGCTGTAAGTTATAATACTGCTGTTCTTCTGACACTGAGTTCAGTTTGAAGAGGCTTTTAGACAGGAATATAGTTTGAGCTTTATCTGTGCTCGATTTATCAAAATAGAGCTGAGATTAAAATCTGCTACGTAGTTTTGGGAGATGTGAGGTCCCGCTAGTGGGACAACCAGGATCCCTCGCCAGCTAGCAAGATGAGCGGGCGGTCGGCGCTCATGGTAACCCGCTGAGAACAGCCTTTGTTCAGCAAGTCTCTTTGAAATGTGACACAGTTGAATCTCTGTAGTGGTTAAACATGAGATATAATTAGTTTGGGGTCTATCTAGGGGCCAATCTTTGCTCTCAGAGACTGAATCTGTTATTTGTGTCCAGGAAAACCGGTTTGGGTGAGGGGAACGTTAAGGTTCATAACTTTATATTTTCATTGAGCCACGTCCACATGCGTCTGCATCGAGTTTCCACCATTTTGAGTTTTGTCCTACAAACTGTGAGCAGTCGTCAGCAGATGTGGGTCAGAACATCTCTGGACTGAGCCGGACAAAGGTCCTTTTTAGGATTTTGCGTACAGGTTTGCTGCAACTGGCCTTTAAAGTCTGCTCAGACGATGTGGGCGGGGCTTCTGATACCAAAGCCGTCAGATCTCCTGAACGCTTTGTGCTGCCGCAGCCACATTTGGTGGACGTGTAGACATGATGTCTGACTGAGCGTGACGAGTTGGTGTCATCTGGCCAGTAGGTGGCGCTGAGGTTCATAACTTTATATTTTCATTGAACTGGAACTTTGTACTGAGCGCTGATTTTGTACTTTTGGCCGAATCGATTGCTCGTCTTTGTTCCCTGTTGTACAAACCTGTTCTACTTGTTAGAAAGGCTGTTATTGTGCATTAAAACTAACATGATTTAATCAAGGGCCAGCTGAGGAACCCCGGGCCCTGATTGACTGGCGGGCGGCCAATGAGTAATGAGGATTGATTGTGAGTGCTTGTATCATTGGCTGTATATCTGGGGTTGGCTTGGAGCCAGATTTGGGCAGTCTCCATCCATGATGATTAATATCTGATTGAAGTCAGTGTGTCACTCCTTGTTGATGTGTTTGTTTTGCCCAGGGACTTTGTTCCCACTTCTGGCCTGGCCATAAATACCAAACAGGCCAAAGAGAAGTGGAACGAGCTGAAAGACAAGTCCAAGGTGACCTGCCTGTGTCTCTGCTTTGTATTATATAGCCAGTGGCTTCCTGAGAGGCAGTGGCCAGAGGAGAGGAGAGGGAAAGGGCAGCCACAGCTCCAGCAGAGAGAGACCACTTATCTTACCATCACATAGTTGAGGCCCCTGGCATCACAGAGGCCCTGCAGCAGCACTAAGGGGAAAGGCTTTCTGTTCACACAGCATTTCTTCTGTGGCTCTGCAGGAAGAAGAATCCTCAGGGATGCAAACTCGTCACCTTTCCGGTGAGATTCGCCTCTCAAGAGATTTCAGAGCCAGAAGTGTCCTTGGCCAGAAACAAAGGATGTCAGCGGGAGTCCCTCGCATCCTTTCCATGATGCTGTCAGACACCTGGTATAACAGTCTGAGCCTGTCCGCGCCAAAAGGAAGCACTTTCTGTGGACGCCATTTTGAAGGGCGAAAAAGGGATCCAGGGCAGGAAGTGAAAGGCAGAATGGAGGAGATGGAGGAAAGCCCGTACTGTGCTGGTTATTGTTTCCTCATTCTGTCGTCCCAGGCATCATGTGTGAAACCTGGAGTCGCTCAGTTCATTCTGAAATTATGGCTGAAAACCTCTTTGGAGGTCACTTTGACCTTTGACCTTTGAGAAAGTGTCACCTACTCAGTGTGAAAAGCAAAGAGAAATTCTGCTGAAATAAGCACTTCCTTAATTACTAAATGATTCAATGTGATTATGAAAGAAGATAAAACCTGAATAAAAAATGAAGGAAATTCCTTCAAAGCTAAATTATTCTGAAATACACCAAATGAATTCCAAAAAGGTGTTTTTGCTCCCATTTGTATAATCGTGCTGGTTTTTAGTCAGATCTGAGCTAAATGTGCTCCTGCTGCCAAACCATCGAAGGAACAAATGTTTTCAAGGTCCTGGAGGAGGAAATCTTTCTCTCTACAGAAAATGAGCCATGTCGACCACAAGGGGGCGCTAAAGGAAAGTCAGAAAGTTCATGTCTGTCTAACCAGATGAAGCTGGAGTCAGAACAGCCTCTGATTTTTAACGTTGGACTTTGTCTGCTCGCTACACGACTCTGATCTCTGTGTTTCTGTATTTTTCTCCAAACTGCACCAAATTAGCGTCAGCGGCCCTCGATGCCTCCAGATCTACAGATCCAGCAGCAGGAGGCTCTGGGACACGTTTCTTCTCTGATCTCAGGATTCACTTGTTCACGTGTCACCAGATGTGATTTGCACATCGAGTGTTGTGAAACCAAATTCAGAGGATCTGTGCCGACGCTTCACTTTTATTTGAATTTAATATAGAACAGGACTCGGCCGACATTGTTCCAGAAGGACTTCCAGATCGGCCTGGGTCGGCGCGGCTTTGCTTCTGAATTGTGCCGGGTGTTTGGACCC